CTGATAATAAAACAGGAACTAACAAAGGACAAGTAGAAAAATACTAGCCTAGGCTAGTTTCACATAAATATAAACATAAATATAAAATTATTCTCAATGGCTTTTAGCATTTTGTTGCAGTTTCTTCCTCCGCAACATTCCATCAACCTGAAAAGCTTTCCTTCAGTTACTTTCCATATTCACTGACATGTGAATCCCCTTTGTTGATAACGCAAAGCTCTACTTTCACAGAAATTCGTGCATTATAAAACATGAGATCTGTGTGCTCTTTGTGCACTGATGCTGCAAAATGTTGGGTCTTAGCACTGGGCAGCTTCAGGTCTGGGGGTCTTGCAGATCAGTTTCCATGAAAAACTCAGCATGACAGCTACATAGAACCTGAATGGTTCCCAGAGGAAGCTGTTTATTTGTGATACACCAGTCCCTGAGCCAAGAGGACTATGAATGGCACAACGAAAATCTGCTTTCTAGGAGTCCTGTCCTAAACATTACAGACAGGGTTACAAAAAGCATTTCATCCTAAAATTCCTTTTAGAGAGAAATTTGGACAGGTTCCATTTAAAGTTTTGAGAAAAGCAGCAAGAAAAATCACTGAGGGGGATCTTGCTGTTCCCCTCAGAACTCTCTAAATGATTATGTGACATAAATTATGTATCAAAAATCACATATGTCATCAGGGACTAATCTGCAGATTAAGAACCAGAACATATAAGAATGTACAGGGCTGAGGTCTCTGACACCCATGAAGCCATGCCTTAGCACTTGGTTAAACTCACAAATATTTACCAGGTAAAGAGAATACCACAGCGAGCTTTCTCAATAGCTAACAGAAAGTAAACATGTTTTTATAACCTTAGAACAGGATGCAAACATTAAAAACGTCAAATTACAATTAAAAGTTAAGCTTCTGCATTCCATGGGAAAGAACCCCAATACAATTTGTGCATTGTTCTTCATTTCCCTGGCCAATCCTTGCTCTCCTTCTCAGTAGTGATGTGTATCTTGGTATAGAGGCAGAGAGATGTGGTTGTTCAGCCCTGCAATTTCCAGAATTTCTCATTCTCCAAGAGACAGTCCCACCACCTGCATTATCTGCAGGCTGCAAAAAGTCTTGGAGGTGACAAGCGATGTCAGGGCTTGAAGATGCCTCAGACTCTGGTGCACAGTGTAGAAAGGAGTATCAATAGCTAGAGCTAAGTGCATGTGCTGTCACTGGACCAGCACAGGAGTCTGAAATCTCCAGAGGAACTTCCCCCTCTGCTTGTTGTTCATTGCTGGTTAATGCAATGACAGAACACACTGCTTTCCTATTAGTGTATTTATTCAGTTCAGGGAATTCAAAATCAGGTTTCCTATAAATAATTAATTATAACTCCTAAGAAATAAGCAACTATGATTACTCTTGTCACCTAAAAAGACCATGCTATATTGATTCAAGTTATTTGAACTTGAATAAGTTCACTGCAATACACTGTGCAAGCAGTAAAAAAAATAGCCAGTTTGATAAATTCAGGACAGGTAACTGGAAATTAAGGGAGAAAAGCTAAACCCACAGCACAACAGCTAACCCTATAAATGAATGTGAACTTGGACACATGACTTCATTGGTTTGTGGTTTGATCCTTCTTTGATCTGGAAAGTTCATGTCTGGTGGTAAAATCATGGGCTTGGAGAATAGGCATTATTACAGGAATAGGGAAACTTGACTTCTGTGCTGTCTCTGGTTTCTGAGTTCTTCTAGGTCATAAGCTCTGAAACTTGAAATCTGTGACACACTTAAGGGAGTCACCCAAAATCATGCATCAAGTCAGCATCAGAATGAAGAAATAATAAAAAAAAAAGTCCTGAATCACAGTCCCATGGTTTTCTACTTTAGCTTTTTGTAAAACTTTGAAACTCATAGGACTGATGTAGCAGTGCTACCCTCCCACTTTTGTAAACAGACCAATAAATTAAAGTTCTCATATTAATTGAGGTATCACAGTTGATAAAGCAACATAGAGCCAGGATGGCTGTGAACTTGTGCTCCAGGTTAGGAAAGGAAAGCCTTTCACGAAGCATGTGCTTGAGAACAAAGAGTGGCTCCACTGCAGACAATGGAACTGTCCACAGGGCTCAAACTAGGGTATACATTAGTGCTTTGCTTGACCCAGGCCCTAAGATCTAGTTTGAATGCTGCAGAAGTTAATGGGAGTTTTCCAACTTTCTTCAAGTAGGTGCAAACCTATTTAAGCTAAAGATTGTGTTTCCAACATATTGAAGGTTTAGTTATCTGCATGACTTAATGTGCAAATATGTATCTGCATGATGTATGTAAGTTCTATAGAATCAGGAGTGAACTTTGCAAAAAACTTATTCTCTCACTGAGTATTAATCCACCACAAGGTCACCAGCTTTTTTTGATGGAAGGTAAGAACATCAAATCATAGAGTGGTTTGGGTTGAAAGGGACCTTACAGATGATCTAGTTTCAACTTCTGGCCTTTGTCAGGGACACTTTCCACTAGGCCAGATTGTTCAAAGCTCCATCCAGCCAGCCCTTAAACACTTCCAGGGATGGGACATCCACAAGTTTTCTAGGCAACATGTGCCACTGTCTGACCACCCTCACAGTAAGGAATTTTAGAATCATAACCGCTTGTCCTGTCACTGCCCTCCTCATCTTTCCTATAATTCCCTGTTAAGAACTCTGCATGCTCTGGTGAAAATAGTGCAGTGCTATGGAAGCAAGTATCCTTAAAAAAAAAGTGTATTGAAAAGAGCAATTCACTGGAGATATAGCCAGATCTAAGACTTTAGGAAGGGACTAAATTCTTTTAAAGCAAGATCTGTGTATCCTCAGGCAGAATGTAGAAAGGCACCCAGAAGTGTCAGCCTGCAGCAGACAGCCTGCAGCACAGCTGGCAGGGCCCCAGCATCTTTGGCAAGAAATCACTGGCAGAAGAATAAGGTGTTGTGCCTAACAAGCACCTTGTCTTGCTTTGAGGTCTCTATCAAAAAGCCACAAAAGAACTGGCACAATATTTCCTGTTCAGCCCAGGGTGACCTGGTGGTAGCAAAGCCTGCACACGGCAGGTGAAAGGATGGGAATGATTTCACAGTGGTACAAGACACAGGATGGTGCACATCACCCACAGTTTCTCTACACTTGTATGAAAGCTTTATATCAAGACATCTGGGGAAAGGTACACAATCATCACTGGTAGTGTTTGCAAACAATACTTAATGTGCCAAATAATAAATAAGGCTTGTCAGTAATAAATAAGTTTGGTCATCTTAATGGTGGAATAAACTGTGCTCACTTGGTTCATGCTTTAGATAGTTTTTTGGGTTTTGTTTTTAATTTTGGAGGAATAAGACTTTTTAACAACTCTGTAAAGCATAAAATTTGTATTAACAACAGTGCCCCTGAGAAGAATTTAGGGATGGAATGCAAGTGTCTTCCATCTAGAGCAATATGGTGCTTAAGACAGCTGATGAGGAGCCTGGATACATATACAGGAAAGGCATTATGTCCTTCATACTATCTGAGGTTGTTCCCACAACACTTACATGCTTTCATACCTTGTTTTATATTCAGATTTGAAATGAGATACTGTCAGGTTGGAAACTATGCAGAAATGGGTGGCATGAATGAAAATAAATTTGTGCTACAGAACTGAAGATGAAAACTGCTGTACTCAGCTGAGAAAAGTTGCAAGCTGACTCAACACACTGTAAACATGGACAAGAGGAAGAGCTGGATGATAAAGTACTGTTATCTACCATGCCAGAAGCAAAGGATGAGAAAGGATATCTACTGATTTTTTTCAATGAAAACATGACTGTCATTAAATTGAAGTTTTAAAATGTACTGATTATATCAGAAAAAAACCAAAAGTCAGGTGTTTAGTCGGACAATTGAATGCTTAGGAACTTTTCATTAATTATGTCCTACTAAAGAATTATCAAACCTGCACAGACTTCAGCTTTAGTATTTCCGCCAGGGAGGTTGTGGAATTCTGTTGTGTTGTACTTTAATTTCTTCTGCTCCTGCTGAATTATTTGGGTCAAATTAGTTTGAGTCAAAAATGACAACTTTTCTTGCCATCATTGAAAAGCATATAACTCTGTATTTCATTTACTCTAAAAAAAAAAGTCCCAAATGATTCAGCTTATTTTTTCAGTCTCTAAATCTTACAGTCATAGGCTAAATTTCCTGAAGATGGTAAGTCTCCCACAGGAATAAGTTTCAAATTGCTTGGCAGCATCTACAGTGAAGTATTTTAAATGTAGGTAGGGCCACAGGTGGATAGTGCTTTCTGAAAAGAGGTTGTAGGAGCAAGAGAAAGCAGAGTACTTGATTAGCACTCTGAAGTTTATCACTTTTTGGGAAAGTGCACATTTAAAACTGATCCTATGATCTACTATAATTATTCAGGTCAAAGCAAGAACAGTTCCACAGGAGTAACAGCAGGGTTTTGAATTGAGAGGAATTTTTTATTATGGTGGAGGAGAAAGAGAGTCCTTGCAATGGGATCCAGCTTCAGCTAAGGTCTCAGTGTTAGGAGGTTTTGATCCTGGTAGTGGCCAAGCACCTTTGGTTATCTTTCAGTGCTCACCACAGCACTAACAGTGAGGATGCAAAGATCTGGCAAAAGCTCCATTTGCTATTAACACCTAATGCACTACTCAGCATGTTCCAGCCCTCTGATAGCAGACAGGATTTTGCATGCATTTCTGCCCCACCTCAAAAGCACCTACCTAGATAATAAATACTGTCTACAGCTCAGCTATCAATATTTGTTTTCCATCAGAAAGGCATTTTTTCTAATCATTATTCTGAGGAATACAAAGTTCTGGACTCAGCAGTTTACTCAGGTCAGTGCTCTACAAAGCCAAACATTTTCTCATTGCCAGCTGGAAAAAGGCTGGGAATTCTTTGAATATTGCAAAATAATTGCATTTGCATTGAGCAGGCTTTTTTCCCTCCACCTAAACTTGAATTGTACAACACAAAGGCAGCATAAAATATTTGCTTTCTGATTCCACATAAAGAACTTCAGCTTTCTCAGGAAACTTGGAGCTCTTTGGAAGCCAAGCATTCCACAATGGTAAGTTAAAGGTTTAGATTGGTTTGGGTTTTTTTGTAATGGGGATAGAGATAGGTATTTGCTTTAAAACTGCGAAAGGGGAGCATTTAAGAGAATCATCTAGATACACATTTTAGCTGCGTGTAAATGTGGCTATATTTTATTTCAAACCTGTAAAATACAAAAGAGGAATACACCTCTTTGAAGATTTCTGTGAATTTTGTTCTTGGCATTGGAATTCTTTGCAAGAATGACAATATAATTTTTATATCTTAAGATAATTTTAATATAATTTTATAATATATTATAAAATAGAAATATATTATAATATTATAATACTAATTATATTATAAATATAAATATATATAAAATATAATATATTTTAATGTAATTAAAAGATATCTCTCAGTCTTTCACTTGCTGTTATTCTTTCCTCAGAAATGTTTGTGAAAACATTCAGAGTTTTGCAAACATACAGGACCATGCTTTTGAAACTTAAAAATGGGAAGTACAGTTTAAAGTATTGTCATTTTACTACGAAAAAAGTGTGTATATTTTGTCCGTGTATTTTTTCTGTTCTTCATTTTGATCCCCCAAATTGTGTCCTGTTCCAGCTCTTCAAGCCTCCAAAGGTGTTTGCAGAATCTAAATCAACAGTTAGGTAATGATAAATAGACCAACAATGTCCTATGCCCTGGTTCTCCTGTGATTTGTGCTCACATAGTCCCAAAGGCACAGACATCAAGAAGTGCCTTAGATGAGCATCTCAGGAATGGCATAGGTTCTACAGAGGAGGCAGTATTGTCTATAATATGTTGATTCATAAACAGGGGAGAAATTACCATTTGCTTCTTTTTCTCTACAGAAGAGCTTTCTGGCTTTCCTTGTTGCAGTGGGCAGCATGGTGACCCTGGGGGATGCATCCTGCTTTACTGTACTTCAAGTTCCAGGGAAGCCCTACAGAGGTAGAAACAAGGAGCATCCTCTGACCTGATTGCTCTGTGGTAACTTGGCTCTCTGTGGAGCTGCCAGGAAGGGCTCAAAATGCAAGGGAGGGGGAAGATACTGGAAAAACACAAATAGGGGGCACCAGCAGCAAGGTGCTAAAAGTAGGGGAAAAACAAAGCATTCCCCTGGGCTGGGTATGGCTGAAGCAACATTATTGAAATTGGTGGTAGGTTGCTACTGCTATTCCAGCACATGGAGCTCCTTCAGGAGCTGAAAGAGTCAAACCCAATTCGTTGTACTTTACTATTGCCTGGAATTACATTTTCAGAAAAGCTGAAATAATTTTTAATCTCTTCTGCGTTTAGGTGGTGGTTTAAAGAACCTGTTCTGTTTTGTTGCTGTTTTATGCAGGGTGTACATGGAAAGGAAAACTGTATCCCTTTGGACACATTGAGAGGACAGAAGATTGCTACCAATGTGACTGCAGTCCAGGTGCAATGGAATGCTGCTCCCTGTAAGTTTGAACTTCTTGGTACCATCATTGCCTGTAGGATGACCACAGCTTTCCATTGCTGGAGATAGATGGCTTTGTGAGGACACAAGAGAGCCTTTTCTCACCCATGTCACAGAGGTAGTGAAAGCCACATACAGCTCTCGATTGTTTGGATCCTTAGCTGTGTTTGCCTTTGCTCATTTTCTGCTGACTGGGAGTGGACACAAGCCTTTCCAGGCATATCCAGTTGGTGCTTGCCTTTCATTTTTAAGGAACTTGTGAACCCCTCTTTCACTGCAGTTGTCTTTCGTTAGCTGAGAAAGTGGGGGTAGGTGACTTAAGTGAAGTTTCCCTAAAGAGCTTATATGGTTGTGTTTGAGGGTCCCAGGATGAGGGAAGAGATGAGAATCTTGACTCCATGTTTCAGAATACTGATTTATTATATTATGGTATTATATTACATTAAAATGCTATACTAAAACTATACAAAAAAGAATAGAGAGAAAGGATCCTTCAGAAGCTAGAAAGGAAAGCAAAGGAATGATAACAAAAGCTTGTGACTCTCAGAGAGTCCAAGCCAGCTGACTGTGATTGGCCATTAATTAGAAACAACCAACATGGACCAATCAAAGATGCACCTGTTGCATTCCACAGCAGCAGATAATTATTGTTTTTCTTTTCTTCTGAGGCTTCTCAGCTTCTCAGAAGAAAAAATCCTGGCAAAGAGATTTTTCAGAAAATATCATGGTGACAAGCTTATGGTGATCTTAATACCTTTCCTGAAGTGCTTTTCTAGGTGAATATGGTAAATGTAGAATGACAAGGCTGGTAAATGTAGAATGACAAGGCTCTGCTCTGAAGTATTTCTGCAGCATTCTCCTTTCCTCCTGCTGCTTTCTCAAACGCTCAAAATACCTTGATGATGATCTTTGTCTTTATTTAGGTGGCACAGTCTATCAGGGAGCAGCCACCACATCCTGTGCAAACTGGAAATAATGAAAAATTAAAGGCAGAAAAAGGGAAAAGATGCCAAGGCCATGCTTATGTCACTGCAGAGTGCTGTGCTAGAAGTGCCTTTGCTAGTGCTGAGCATCCTGGCACATCTTCACGGTGCAGTGCACAGGGCATCAATTGAGGCTCTGGAAGCTGCAGCTGTGTGGTACTCAAGCTAGCTCAGCTGCCCTTAGCCATAGTTTGACCTCTCTCACTGAGCAGTAGTTCAAGCTATAATCACTGAAGTATTGAAACTTTTATTGCTCTCAAGCGAACATTTGCTTTCTCTTTGCCCCTGACAGCTTTCACACTCCTGTTTCTTACGACAAAAAGAAATGTAAAGTTGTTTTCAACAAGAAGCGCTGTGAGTATAACGTGGTGCAGAAGGACGACCCCTCAAAGGTGTGTTTTGCCTTTTCTGCTGTGGGCTAACACCTGCTCCAAACCTCTCTGCATTGTGGAATTCCTCTCCTTCCTACAGATGCTTTGCCATCACAGAGAAGCACGATGACATGGGAAAATCTCATAAAAGCGAGCACTTCAGTAGCTGCCTTCTAACCTCCTAATTGTCCTAATTCAGCTTACAAGATGCATAATGAGATAGAGTGTCTCATTTCTAGCAAAAGGTCATATTCATATTCTTAATATTAGTTGTTAAGACTTTGTGTTTTAAGAGATTTATAGATGTTTATGTAACATTTAAATTAAGTAGGATTTTCATTCTATTAGTTTCCTTTGTTCAAGCTGTATTTATTTATTTTTAAATTAGAGCCTTATTACCTGTAAGGTCCCAAGAATTTCTGCAAAATCTGGGTGCCAGTTTTCTTACAGATGAAGATGACTTTCTTAGTGCAAGAATATTTTCGATTTGCTGCAGAACCACTAAAAGTGTGAATAAATGACCAAGAAAAGAAATCTAACACAGGCTTTGTATCTCCTGAGAATATATTCTTTCTGGTTCTGGGATTGGGAAGAACCAGTGTATTTTTGTGATTAGCACACCCTTCCAGAAGTTATCTGTGGGTGGAGAAGCCCATCTTCCACTGAAAGGGCACCTCCTCCACCACTTGTAGTTGAAGCAGAATCTGAACAGCTCACCACAAACAAGAGCTGATACTGGAGAAGAAAGAAAATTAATTCTGATGGGTTTACCAGGCCAAGGAAATGTAGAGCCTTGTCTCATAGGCTCCAGAGAATAAACTGTGTTCACTGAGACCCAGAAATTGCATATAAATGTTTTAAAAAAGACATTTTTTAGTCTCAATGTGCAATTGTATTTGTTTTTCTATTACTAGAGTAGCTGCCTATACTGAAACTTCCTTCTTTTTTTTCCCTCTAAATAAAAATAATTTAGCAATGAAGCTCAGGAGTCTTTAATCTCCCTTTCTCAGAGCTGGGAAATGCTCAAGAACATTGCCACAAGTAATTTTTACTGATTTGGGATTTTTTTATTCATGAGATTATCCATCTGCAGGAAAGCAGGCTAATACATCCTCTGTTTTGAATTTTTTTTTGTTATTTACGCACCACCAAAAATTAATGAAATGTGTAGGGCAGAAAGAGAGAGGTACTAGTTCTGTTCTCTGTCCTTCACAGAAATGAGACTAAAGAAAAACTTGTTGAATTTTGGTAACTTTCTCAGAAATCCCATCAGAACTTCCTCTCCAAATGAGAAATATTTTTGTGTTGCTAAAACACTGGAGAATAAGTTTTTCCTATTTTTATATCCACAGGTTATACCATACAAAAGCTCCTTAGAAACAACCCATTATTGTCAAAGTCCAAATTTCAGATTCTAAAGATTTTATAGCACTCAAATTCAATCTGTTGACACCTATATGATCAAAGAATCATGGCAATACCACACATGTATGTAATCTGCAGCATATCTTACATTTTAAGGCTTTCAAAAATAAAATGCTAGCTGTCATTTTGTGAAAAAAAAATTCATGAAATTTGTTGCATTTTCTACCCTTTTTCAGGTGGCCATTCCTTTTTGCTTTCTTAAAGAGGGGGAAGGAATTCTCCCAGCCCCAGTCTGCTCTCTGAAAGTGATAAATTACTTTCAAGAAGTATTCCAAGACATTGTGGGGGTTTTACAGGGCTTTCCTGGGCTTACTTCTTCACACCACTGCATAGTGCATACTGTTATTACAAACTAAATAGCCCAAGTATAATTCTGGTGAAACCTGCCAGAGATGCAAGTCACAAAATCTGTCATGGTGTTCTGTTCTAATTCCTGCCTATCTCAATTGCACAGGCAGGGTGTAGGACAAGAAATGGCAGGAAGCAGGATTTTACACATTACAGAGGAAAACAGCAAAGAAAAAGGAGAAGAGGTCCCAAAAGCCAAGATATCCTCTGGATTTGGCTGAAGAATTCTGTGGTTGCCCTCACCATCCCAGTCTATTCTAACAGAATCCTGCAGCAATAACTTCCAACCATAGCATTTAGTCTTCATGGAATCAGTAACTAACAGGTTTTAAAAATGGAAAAAAAGCTCATGCTCTCTAAATAGAGCTGAAGTATAGTGTAGGTGGGATATACACAAAATTAACTGAATTTCCCCAGAAATAAGTCTAAAGGATGGTGAACTAAATAATTGTTGGTATGAAATTGAAGTTAAGCCTTGTTTCATTTTGTGCACGCATGGGCAGCTTTTGTTCAAGATGAAAGAGCAGATAATTTGCTACCACCTGGAGGACCAAAGGCATGCTCCCAATGCCAGCGTGGCCAGAGCAGTGTCCACTGTTGCACCATGTAAGTTCCACAAAAGCAGAGGCACTAGTGGACAGAACTAGAGCAATGCTCCAACCCGCCACCCTTCCTATAGCCAATTCCTAAAGTCACGGCTCCATAAAAAGTCTTCTTCACACATATATGGTTTTCATTTGCTTAATCAGCTGCAGGGTCAAGATAACAAATTGTGTTTGGAATCACTGTGGGTTTTTTTCATTTGTGGAATAAACTTTTCTGTCATTTTTCTGGTTCACTCAATACTTCTAAGACTTTTTTTTTACTGCACATCTTGAGACAGAAGGTAGAAGTGCAGAATATTTAGCTTTTCCCATAAGCTGGAGATACCTTTTTTTGCTGAATCTGCCACTCCTATTCATTTTGATTTACTGCCTCTGGACTTTTGTTCTTGCTGGTACAATATCTGTGGCCATCTCCCTCAGTTCTGCCCACACTTCAGAGATGGAGGTCGCCTCGTTGCAGCGTGGCCTGGTGTTTGTGATTGGCCCTTTAGATCTTTTTGTCTGTCCCTGTGTCCCTTGCTTAGCACTGATCCTTCATCCTGAGATCATGATCTTTCAGGATTTTCCAGGCTAGCTGAGAAATTATCACATGTTTTAAAAATGCATTTACACCAAGATAAAAAAGTAGGTGTTTCTCATCCCACTGCAACTGCATTGAATTAAAACTGAAATTGGACTCATGGATGGGACTTGGCTACACATGGAAGAAGGCAAGTGTGTTCAGATCAGAGAAGAAATTATATTATTGTCTCAAGCTTGGGTCTCCCCTCTTGAATTGAGGTTTCAGTTCATGTTTCTGCTCTGCCATCTGTTACCTGGGACAAATCACTCACAGTGCCTGTGTACCTTGTTATAAAATTTTTACAATTCTTTGATAATTCCTGTCCTGGGAGAGATCTAAGGGCCTAGGCTTTGAGGTTTGTGGGTATATGAACCTCAGACTAAAGAAAAGTGTTCCCACCAAGATAAAACTTCCTTCTACCACCTTTACAATATGTTCTTGTGTAAACAGTGCACTGTATATTTTCGTGTTTGCATGTGCCTTTCCTTAACACAGTTATCCTTTCTTACACACAAATGTGACAGACTTTAATACAGTAAAGCCCATGCACATTATACATAGCATTGTCAGTTTAATGTCAAGAAGAGTTTATTTGTAAAACCATGTTTACTTATGATCTGTGAGCTGAAATGCTTCATGCTTCCTCTTGTTCTTCCCCTTTCAATAGGAGTGATCATCAACCTACTGGGTTTAGTGACTGGATACACAAACTGCTGTAAGGGCTCCTGCACTTACTCTCCCACACAGCAATCTCACATTCTTGATCCCTCTCAAGAATGTCACAGTAGTACTGAAATGCTGGCCTAAGAAACAAGATTCTTGGACTGCTTTCATTTTAGCACACCTCTTCTAGCTTTGAGTTGTCCATAGATATTAGCTAGATTATTGGGCTGTTTTAATAACATGACTGCTCTGAAATCATGCTGTTTTTCTCTGTTGATTGCCTTGCACTAAAACATACAAGAAAAAAGTGTGTTGGTCATCTTGCATTACTTGGATTATCTCTGTTGTAATCAGTGAGATGTAACCAGAAACCGCAGCAGAAGGACTAGAGTAAAATAGCAAGGTAAATCTTCAAGAAAGTCTCCAAGACTTCTCTCTGCCTTAGGAAGAAAGAGGATGCTCTATCCATCAGAATAAGTGGAAAGGAGGCACAGAAGTGGGCAGAGCAAGGATAATCTTAGAATGTTTTTAGTAAGAAATTAGCCAGTTGGGAAGCCAATATAAGATTTCAACAGAGCAACATCTGCTAAACAAACCTGTTCCTCACCCATGCAAGGCACCTATCATCCTGTACACGAACAACACGGAGAAATGTGATGTTATGTGGATCACAAATGACCCAGATTATCAATACATGAATGGACTATCCTCATAGAGTTTGCTGCTAAGTGTTTTCAGCACCACAGCATTTTGTTGGGTTCCTCTGAATTTACAGATCGTGCAAAAGGGCTTCTTCATTGTCCCTTAACACTGCTCAGGCTTAGGCAGGTTACTCTCTGCTGTGGTCCAAAGAAAACTGTTTGCAAGTTCTCTCCATAGCTCTTTGCATAGCTTGCACCTGAGAAACAAGGGAAGGTCCTGCACTGGGAGCAGCTGGGCAGTCTGGAAGGTTGAGAAAGAAAATATACCAGCATGTTGGTTGGATGTTTAGGTTTTCCAGAGCTGAGCAACAAGCACATCCTTTGTCACTCAACACCAACCTAGAAAGTTGTCTTTTCTTTCATTTTGGCTGTATATTACTATATTATATTATATATTATGCATATTATATGTATAATTCCATACGTTTCGCTCCAGTACACCTGTATCACAAATTTCCATGTAACTGATAATTTTTATTCACATACAAGAACTGCTGCAGGATGCCTGAGTAGCAAAATGTTGCATGCCAAGTACACAACACGCAAGAAGAAAAAAAATTAAATAGCTCAGTAATTTTAACAGAATAAATACAGTGCAATTTGATGGTCCTTTTATTCCAAAATATCATGGAACATTTGTTCCAGATCACCTTTAAGGACATGGAGGAGCCAGTACCTTGAGCAGGATTCTATGCTACTTCCCACAGTATCATCAGCCTAGAGGAAATTACTTCTCAATACCTAAATGTTACAAAGAGCAAGCATGAAAAGCTAGGGCACATCCTTAGGCATCTCACAGATGTTCGACAGTTAGGTCAGGCAGTACAGGAGCAGGACATGAGAAGGGAGACTGTGAACTCTCTCCATCTTGACTGGCTTTGGCCTAGGATCAGGGTGTAATACTTCACTATCCTACTGTGCCTTTGCCCCTCTCCTTTAACTGGAAAATGAACACGGTCTGAAACACCAACATATCCCAAACCACAATGCTGTTCATTGGCTTCATACGTATTTCTGAGAGATTCAAAGGGGATATGTGGACTGTTGATTTCAATAATGAAATTCCCAGGGCTGACATGCCCACTGATTAGGAGTCAAGGGTATGGCAGTTACCCTCCATTCCAGGGCAGGGCGTGAATCAGCACTGCCAAGTCTAACTTACTACAGACAGGCTGTCACAGCTTTATCAAACACCTGCAAGCACTTCATCTCTTTTCTGTCATCCTGAAAGGAATAGTCTAGTAACCGAAGAAAAACCCATTTACCCAATTTACTGAGTTGAAAGCCAGCTAAGATGTCACTGGAAGTAGTGGTCTCACTGTGACCTGCATTACACTAACTCTGGCCTTCTCTCATGGACTTCCTGAGGTACCTTTCAACTCTGGAGTTGGAGTAGAAGATGTGGAGTAGCCAACCCAGCTTGGAGTTCAGCCTCTACTCCCAAAACCACACAAGAAGTCACCACAATTATGCAGTCAGAGTAATTAATTCAGGTATTGCAAACTGTGCAGCTCTGGTAATAAGGGATAAACTTCATCACCAAGAAGAGCCACAAAGTTTGAAATACTTGAACCTTGTAGGTGAAAGCTAAGCAAAAGGGGACCATAGTGGACCTCTTTGCTATCAAATTACTGTCCTTGGAAAGTATGTCTGCCCCTGACATATCCAGCCTCTGCAGAAAAGGAACAGTTTCTCCCTGGTTACAAGAACTAAAAAATAAAATATATAATGCTTATTTCTTCACAGAGGACCTGAGCTTATGGATCTTCTACATGATGGAAAGCTGAAGAAGGAAGAAAATTATTATCTAGGACCCATGTTTTAAACCCTAGATGGTTGAAACTAAGCATGCAATTTTGTTGTGATTGACAACCATCATGTCTCTAATGGTTTTCTCAGGGCAAGTGCTAAATATTCCTTCTAGGCTTGAAAAGTGCTTCCTGTAACTGCCTCCCAACTCTGGTGTGGCACAAAAGCCACACCTATTTCTCCAGTGTCTGTTAGAACAAACCTTTCTTCCTGTGTGTAATTGCCTTATCTTAATGTCCACCCCATGAAGTCATTTTGCCAAAACTTCATTGGTGCTAGACATGCATGGTCAGTTTGCTCAAGGGCTGTTATCACAAATTCCCTCTCTATATAAGGTCTCTGAGAAGATGAGCTTCGTACATGCCATCTCCCTTCTGGAAGTCTCATAATTCTGCAAGAATGGTGAGTCCTTACATCTTGTGCTGTAAAAGATCATGGTATGTTGCTATAGGTTTTAAAGGAGTTTCTGTTGAATTTATCTCAGTACTTGGCACATTAAGAAACTTGGAGAATGTATAAATTCTGGGTTATGACAGCGAGTCAAAGAGAGGCAAAGGCAGGTGAGAACTTGGGGTGAAAAGTCTGGATAATATCTGAACACTTTGCTGAACTCAAAAAAAAAGGTATCTTGATTTTTACTCCTTTGTCACTCTCTTGCAGTTTTGTGAGTTTTAACCTCTCTTCTGCAAAATGAAACACTAAATTTGCCTCCTCTCATCTCTCAGGAATGACTTCTTTTTATAAGTCACCAGTCCTACTGTCTGAAATGACACACTTACGTACAGTATGTGTATGTGATTGTTCATTCCTGGTCTACCAGGAATAAACCTTTCTTCTCTTACCCTTCAAACATTTCAAACTAATATTGAAACTTCAGCTGAATTTTCAGAAAAAACTCACTGACAAAGGTCACAGAATATAGAATTACCTAGGTTGTGACATCTGCAAGTAAGGTACAGGGCCAAGACTTGAGTATTTAATTTCAGCTAAAGTTATTGCACTTCTTCCTAATCCTTCAATATTAGGGTGAAACATTCTGTAGTTCTACACACTGCAGTAAAGAAGTTTTTGCAACTGTGAGGTTAGTGGACAAAACCGTTGGTGACCAAGCCTATACATAAAAAAAAAAAGGACTAGAAAATTTAATGGGTAATGGAGAGGAATAGAACACACATTTTTCACAAACAGTAGCTGGGTCTAGCAGTCAATGCTTGATCCTAACAACTTGGAAAGACAGACAAACACAGACATTATTTCCCCTCCCATGTGATGCTCTGCCTCTGCTTCTTCAAAATGGTTCCGTAGTCCTGATAAGTGTGTTAAAGTGTCTAAACTGCAAAAGACAATTGGATTTTAATTTGAAACCACAATGTATTTTCCTGTTATTTATCAGCAAGACATCTTAATAGCTACTGAAGGATTGATATGAATTCTGTTTTCTTGTTCAGAACGCCATCTTGGCCTGCCTTCTTGCTCTTGCCATCAGCATGCCACTGTCTGATGCTTCTTGTTTCGTTATGCCGTTCAAGCCAGGGATGTCTAATGGTGTGGTTGTAGGTAAGAAGCCAACTGCCCTCAACTTGACAGACATCATCAGAATGACTGCTTGATTTGTCCGTTTTGTGCAATTCATCACGATTTAGAAATAAGTGGAAACAGGAGAGGAATTAAAGGGAAATGAGAGGGAAATGGGGTATGGAGAGCAATATGTTTAATATGTTATTAAAAGAACAAGTTATCTGGGGAGCTTCACACAGACCAAATTACTAATGATCTTTTTCCAGGGAAGTAGCACAGTTTTAGTTCACTCATGGGCATGAAGTAGTAACTCATATTTTTACCATGGAATCAGATCTAGAAATCAGAGAAGGGAGAAGGGTAAGTGTATGTAGTCAGTATAAAACAGGAAACAGATTTACAAGTATGCAGCACCATGCAATATACTCATGTCTTGTTTCTATATCCCAAAACAAATTCCTGAAAGCAGAATGGCTGCATCCCTTGAGTCTGCATCTGCCCTTTCTGAACACAGCTAGTCTGTCAGTCTACAGATGAGTGGAGCTTCAGGAAAAACGGTTCCCAAAAGAGAAGCATGCTATTTTTTGGGCACAAGAGGAGTTGATGTGTGCCAATATGCAAAAAAACCCTAAGTGGTCTAAAATCTAAAATACAGCTTTACGTGGGAAAGCTGGTGCTACTACTTGAAGAAATGAGTTAACATTGCCAAAGAAAAGAACATTTATAGGTGAAGACACAACCTAGAAGCACCACCACTCTCTCTTGTTCTGCTCTCATAAAATTCTGCTTTCCAGAACAGTAATTTAGGAGGCCTATAGTCTACTCTGTGACTGTTGAATAGGAACTTTACATCCAACATTTGCTTTCTTCCTGCAGCTGAGGACTGGGAAAACTTTTTTGACCAGATGTAGTCTTGCTTTAAAGAGGAGTCAACAAGAGATGGTGTTAATCGGAAAGTCAAAGCCTTTTTTAATTCTGCCCAGGTCTGTGTCTAGTTGTCTTTCTGCTGGGTTATTCAAATTCCATACTTGAAGATGAACTGCACCAGGAAACCCCATGCTGTTAAGAACCTCAGGAGACAGAAGGACACAGGTCTCTCTTCTCCATGCATCAGGGTAGCACACCCTGCTTCCTGTGTTGGGGAACCTCTGTGTTAGGCAGAGAGGGATGTTAATGCAAAAAGCCAGCAAAGATCCCACCCATTTTGTACATGCAACAGTTGTTAGTGCAATGGGTCTGACACTGAAGACTGCTCATACACTACATTTTCAGGCTGCCTTGACGAGGAAGGAAAGGTCCATGAATTTGATTCCAGGTGGAGGACTGAGAACTGCAATGATTGCTCCTGTTCCAAGACTGGAATTGGCTGCTGCACTAGGTGAGTTCAGAGCAGCAGTGGGGTTTGTCCTCTGCTGCTGTGATACAGCACAACCCACTTCCCTTTGCCCAGGAGTTCCTGAGAAATAACAATAATCCTTCTCCCACTCACTTCCTATGATAAAGTTATGCATTAATCCAACACCATCCTCACTAAACATGCAAGAAATTCCTCTGAAAAATAGAGGTTGTATTTAACAAATAATTCTTGATTTAAAATAAAAAGAGAATTTAATTCTTCTCAGGGCTAAAACATCAGGGAAGTTATTGATTCAAGAGAGAACACTCTAAGAAATTTCTATTGATCCCAGTCCAGATCTTCCCAAAGCCACACATTGACTCACTTTCCTCTGAGAAGCAGCTCAAGGTACCTTGGCTGTAATTTTTCCCATAGTGATACTCAGCCACTCATGCAATATTAGTTCCATACCATGGATGAAGAGAAGAAGCCGTAATGTTGGAATAGCAAATAAGCACAACAAACATCCCTTGGGTGTAAATCAAACCAGAAAAACTACAATTCTCCCTTCATCCTGCTTACACAGCAGGCTAAGTAACATTTGAGCTAGGACCTTTGTGCAAGTTTCCTTTTCTGCTTCCAAAAGCCTCCTCAGTATAGCCTCTTCATATCAAAGGTACAGATGCCACCTCAAGTGGAAGCTGCTTATTTCTTGGTCTCATCACCTCTTTTTCTTTTTCCAACCACAGCTACATGAGACCAGTCGACTATGATGAAGAGAAATGTGAAAGGATTTTCAACAAGGAGACTTGCTCTTATGAAGTAGTGGAGAAGGATGATCACTCAAAAGAATGCCCCGTCCATGCATGGGTGGGGTAACAGAAGAATGGTGAATTGGGGGAATAGTTCCTTTTATTGTTCTGATGGTTCTCTCACAAATTCAAAACCGCTAAAAATTCAAATGTTAAGTGAAATCTACTCATAAAACCCAACATATAATGAAACTGAGTATCTACTCACAGAAATCTCCCTTGGTTTCTCTGCCTTATGCTTCACCATGAAAAAAGAACTGACCTGTTCCTTCCCTGAGGCCAGTCATTAAAGGTGACATTTTAAAGCATCCTTGGTAGCTGCTGAGTTTTCTTCTCTGGTCATGTTTCAGTGCCAAGGAGCATATTCTATAATCTGTGCACACCTATATCTTAAAGCTAAAATAAAATCAAATAAAGCATCAGAAATTCATGTAACTTATTTTCTTCTTTAAGGATGAAAACCAAAAGAATTAAAATTCCAAAAACCATGGGGAAAAATGAAAAGCTGCTTTAAAATCTTTCTGAATGCTCTGTTTTCTATGACAATGTCTTACATGATTAGCTTTTGTCCTCTAAGGCTTCCTGAAGACCAACCTATGGACTGCAAGGTCTAGCAGTTACCCAGTGTAATCCAGTACTATTCTTCCACTACACTGAGAGCATAGCAGACCCAATCATCAGCCTGAGCTCTGAGTGAAAGAAAGGGTCCTTTATTCAGATTAACCCTTTAAAAATGAAAAGTTTTTAATTGGGCTATAGGCAGCATTGTGGCTGCATGGAGTGACTGGGCTCAGACAGGGAAGCAGCTCAGCAAATCCACAAACAGTAACTGAGAGGGAAACACTTGCCAGTATGAGCTCTCCTTTGGGGCACAGCTTCATAATCTTTATAGCACGTTTATTTAATTTCCACACATGACTATGAGCATCCTACATCTCCAAGTTCTATTTCTACACAAGAGAAAGTGTGTCAATGCTTCCACAGCTCATAGTTTCAAATTACAGAATGAGCATATACCTCATGAGCAGTGCCCAGTCCTGCTGTCTGCAGGGTAAAGGCAAACCTCAGCTTGTATTGGCTTTAACTTCATGATTCACCAGATAAACTCCAGTGGTTCCTTTGAATCCTTGCTGTCCTGTGATTGTATCCACATTCAGTGACATTGCTGGGACACACGGTCCCCACTGCAGCTGGGCAGTGAACCTGTTTACTACCCTTTGCAAGCCTGTTCTAAGATAAAGTATAATTGAAGGCATCTTCTAATGACACCATGCCTAGCACAAACTCCAGCACTTAAGGATTGAGGCTAGAGGACTTGAAAATAATTTCTGAGAAACTACTCCACCCTGGTGCATTGAAACTGTAGGATTGCTCCTTCTAATTTTCACCAAAGGAGGTGACACAGAAAGGGGAGCAGTGTGGATAGAGAGAGATGTTTTAGCAGGGAAGGCAGTGATAAGTCAAGGGGTGAAGGTTTTAAAATAAAAGAGGCTACATTCAGATTAGACACAAGGGAGAAATTCTTTAATATGAGGATAGTGAGACACTATAACAGGTTGCTCAGAGAACTTGCAGATGCATCATCCTTGGAAGTGTTTTAGGCCAGGTTGGACAAGGCTTTGAGAACCTGGGTTAGTGGAAGGTGTCCCTGCTCTTGGCAGGAGGGTTGGACTAGATGACCTCTAAAGGTCCCTTCCAATCCAAACCATTCTTTAGATGTCTTTCTGTCTGCAACAGACTTCCAGGTTGACTAGGCATATGCACCCAAATTCCAGAAAAGCCAGCCTGAAGCAACACTCCTACACAATCCAGAGCTATTTAATCGCATTTTAAATCCACCCAAGCACCTTTCTCCACCATCTGCCAAGTCCTCTTAGATGTGGATCTACCCTGTTTGCTATGACAAAATAGGAAAGGTTCATGTCTTGCCTAACCCAAAACACGTCACAGAGCACTCTTCTCTCTTCTTGTGTGCTCCAAGTTTCAACATGGAAACAGATGATTTTATCTATTGCATCTAGATTTGGAGCACCAGAAGCACAGTGGGGACCAGGATCCCTTCTGTAGCAAGGAGTCTAGCTATGGGAAGACAACAAAACCCTCAAATCTGGAAAAAACAGAAACAGAGCGTATAAAGCTCTGCTTTGAACTTCCCACTTTGGCCAAGTTATGTTTTGCCTTGGTATTTCTCTACTTCAGCATTCACAGCTACAGTCCCATACAAAGAATACATCCCCCAGCCTCAAAACTTTTAGATCATAACAACACTAGATTCACAGAGTGGAAAGAAAATACTCACAGGAAAGTTTTCTCCACTATCCTGTGAGATTCAAGGTTTAGGAGGCTCAGCAGAACCTTGAGGGGCAAATTCCAGGCAGAGCAGAACAGGTTGTGTGCTCTCTTGCCCCAAATTTCCCTTTCATCTCCTGAAAGTGCACAGCTTTCCTGCTAGAAGGAGAGGCAGTTTTGGATAGCTGGCCCCCCTCTTACAGTAAGTCTTTTTAAGGCAAATCTTTTAAATATTTGAAACGTGTTCTTGTATTTCATTAGAAATGAAAACTAGTGCTTAGCCTACCAAAGCTTTTAAATCAAACACCAGAAAATACATATAAGTCTGAGGCAAGTTTTCCAATTAAACAATGCTTATCACCTGAAGCTTAATAGCTTTGTATCCCTTCATGTTTTGTGTCCAATAAGATTTTTGCCCCAATCTTACAATGAAAATCCAACTTAAACAAGAAAGCATATATCTCATTTACATTATGCATACCAAGGAAGCCATAGATTTTCAGTTCATGTTCTGCTCTAGGCCAATTTTAAAATCTCAGATAAATTCAATTCCCAAGAATTTTGCTTGTTAACTTTGCTCTTAGTTAACTCTTCTGTTGGTATGCAGGACAGCTTGCATTAGCACCTTTTCAAAGCCTGAAAGTATCTGTTAGAATCTAATGTTGTGTGCATGTTTCCTTGGGTCAAGCTGTTGTTTATTTAAGGGTCAAACTGATTGGAATTGATTTGCTTTATGACAGGTATATACATGAAGCTGTAGAACACACAAGTCATATGACCAATCTAAAACACACAGCAAGCCTGGGTTACTTTAACCTTCTTCCCCATTTTCAAAATTCTGTTTTCACATTTTATTTATTGCAGGAGGTCTCAAGCACTGACCCATGCTCTTTACACTTCTCCAAGGCTTCATTGCTTTTGCACAGCCAATGCTTCCAGTAGATCTCCATTAAGGACTACTGATAAACTGCATTGTGCTTTTTGCATAATGTAAAAGCATCAGGAAGCCAATCTTGAATCCTTTGCACAGAGGGAAGACAGTATCACACAGCACAAGACTCGGCCAGACTCCTGCTGCAGCACCCCTAATAAGTAGCAAACCCTCTTCTCACTGAAAAAAGCCATGTCACTCAGGTAGTAGTTTTAGGGAAAATACTAAATTTCATTTGATTTCCCAAGAGCTGCATGAGCATTAGGTGTAGGGTCCTCCTAATGACTCACTCCCATGAGTTTAGCTAAAAATGGAGTCAGCCAGTTGTCACAGCCAACAGGAATATCAGTTTCCCTTATTAACTTCTCTAAAACAGATTGACATGAACCATTTTGAATTCAGGTCAGATTTATTTTTGTGCTTTAACCTAATTTTGAGGCCCACCATAGTGTTTAGTAATTAAGCAATACATTCATGCAGTTTTGAAACACAGGGTAAAGCAATAGACATCCAGCAGATCATGTCTACAGCCATTAAAGTCTTCTGAAGAAGTATTTTCAATGTGGGCAAGTTGTAATAAAATTACAAAGCTGACCCTTGTCAGAGCCTTGGTGACTTGGAGCCACCATCTCACCACCCTTCTGATTCATGGGGGAATCACAGAGCCCAGTCCCTCCAGCTCCAGCCCTCTCCTCAGAAAACACAGGATCCTTCTAATTGTCAAAATCTTCCCAGGGCAGAATTGCCTCTTTGGCTGGGCTCTGAGTCCCTGTTTTAGCCAAACCACTACATGATTGGACCAGTTTACTCTGGAAACTGCCCTGACAGACGTAGGAGTGAGGCAAACAGGGAAAGGAGGTGCTGGATGTTCCTCTCATTGCTTCATGGAACTCAAGCAGGGGAGGCACATTAACTGTTGCTGTTCCCCCACAAGCCAGGAAAGGAAGTTGATTGACCTAAGTCAGTGTGGATAGAACTGGGCTTTGAGCACTTCCAGCACAACAGAGCCCAAGGGAGAAGATACAGAGGGAAAGCAGCAAACCGACATAGGCACCGTGTCTCAGCGTTCCCAGCCATCACCTAGGCTGAGGGAACTCATCCTTCCCTTAAGAGAGGATCTGTGCTTAACATTCCAGCCCCAGAAGACAACTTCATTTACAACTACACAACAGACAATCCTCTCTCCTCCTTGTTTTAATCTTTTGACATAGAAAACCTTGTTTGTCTCAAGAGGAAATGTCCAGGCAGGTCAGCAAGAAGATGAACAGAGTCAGGTTCAGCCTCTTCTCTGCTCCAGATCCCACAGACAATTCACTCAATGTTTCAGGCTTCCATGAGCATTTGGGGTTTTTTATTCTCAATTAATCCAAGATGCTTTAAGCTGCCTTTTTTTTTTTTTTTTTTTTTTTTTTGACACAGTGCACACAGAACACTTTAATATACACTTCAGTTTCAGGATGTAGAGCTAACAGGCACCTCTGGAAGCAATAGCCTCAGTCACACTTTAGTGTCCTATTTTATGTGTATATTTTACACATATACATGTATTTGCCTATCTGAGAAAGAGCAAAAATTATATGAAAGTTATTAATACAGTTATTTCTCTTCAAGGAGAGAAGGATAACTAATTAAAAATAATTTTAAGTAAGAGAATAATTTGGAATCCACCATGCTCTTCAAGTCAGAATTGCTTATTACATTTTCCTGCAACTATATTCTTATTGGAGATATTCTCCACTGCAACACTTATTTTTCTTCAAGACACAGCACAAGATTTGTCAAGAATTATCGCAGGGACAGAGAAGAAGTGGGTCTGGCCTCTTGCTATATTAGACCCTAATCAATTG